CTGGCCAGGTCAGAGAAGCTGTGCCTTGAGGTCTGACCCAGTGGGGACAACCTTGCTCCACATTCCCCAGCCCCATCCTGTCTCTCCTCACTCTCCTGGGACCTGCTTTGCTCACAGAACTGGCTGCACTCAGGCAAAGAGGGGTTTTCCTTCTTTGATTTAGCAATTTAAAACTCCTGAGTTTCCCCATGGAAAACAGACACCCTCCTCAAGTGTGTGCTATAGAGAGTTTGTCTGAAGAATGGCTAAGACAAAAAGGACATTATATGGTCCGATTAGTTAAAGTATAAGGCCTCAAGGACAGAACGCCCTTAAGGACAAACTGAAACAACTATCAGAATGTGAAACTGCCAAGTATGTGGATCTGCAGCAGAAAGATAGGGAACTAGTAACTTCAAGGCTAACGAAGAACAATGTGCGTCAATGTTAGTGGACCAATCATGAGCTTAGCTTTTGCAATATGTATGAGCTGATTATGAGCATTATATATTGTATATTGTAAACTCCAATAAACTGAGACTTGCTGACCATGAGAGCATGAGGCTTGTCTTCCGCGGCTCCGGTAAATCCCGACAACCCTCCGTGGAAAATCACTCCTAAACCTGGACACAACACATTGAAGCACATCCCTATTCTCTCCTCTGCCCATTTGTGCCCAACACACAACAACCCCTCTGCTCCAACAGGCAGGCTCTGCCCCTTTCTCCTAAAGCAGGAGGGGGTCAGAGGCTCCCACACAGCCACAGGGGCATGAAGGAGGGTGTATGCCAATTTTTTGTTTTACTTCCCTATTTCAGAGGTAAGTCCCTTTCCCACTTCAGATCTTAACATATAAAACAATGAAACTGCTGAGAAGGGGGTAGGTAGATATACAGATATTACAGACCATATATATCACTTTGGTGGTTTTCATATATCCATCTTCTCCAGCAGCCTTGCCATCTTGCAAGCCAGGCCTAACCAGGCCTGCCTAGTCTGAAACCAGACTTGGTAACAGAGAGCTGAGTTTGGCTGTTCAACAAGGAAGACTTCTGAGCATTTCAAAAGGGGCTCAAGATTTTGTTCTGGCACAAACAGAAGGTGAATGTTCAGTGCTACCAATGCTCATTAAGAAAGGGAATATCTCCATACAAGAAGGTGTATCTGAGCTTGAAAGGTCAACCTTGCCTTGAGTTTCAGCTGTCCCAAAGTCAGGCACCCAATCAAGGCCAGCAGTTCCTGCTGCCTATCTGTGCCTTGCACGTGGATGTGCCCTGCATTCCCTCAGACTCCCATATTCACATGAGATCCAGCCAACTCACCAGCTCACCTGGCATCACACCTCAAGTCACATCTTTGTCCTACGAGCAGGCGACTTCCACAGGGGAACAAATAAGAAAAACAGAACAAAAAAAAATTTGCTTCTGTACAACAACCAAAACAAGAAGTTTTGCAGCAGAGGACTGGCTGACTTGCTTCTTTAATCCTTTATTCTCCATCCAAATCCCACCTAACCAGAAATCAAACTGTCTCCAGCTTAGTTTTCTTCTTTCCCCAAGAAAAGAGCAGCTGCAAGCGATGCCTAAGGCAATGGGCTATGCCTTTTCTTTTCCACTCACCTACCTCCAGCAGAGCATTCCCTCTCCTGCCAATGCTCCCCAGGCTCCACACTGCTCTGTCTTGATCTCTGTGCAGATTTTGGCTGTTCTCTGGCCTCTTTGGGGTTAGAAGTCCAGCGGGCCCTAGGCAAGCAGGCTGTTGGAACACCACTACCCTTGCCCAAGTGTTCTAGTTTGCAACGCTAAAGGTAACACAACACTGGGAGAGAGAAGTGTTGCTCAGCCAGAAAGTAAGAAAGGGAGGTGCATTTTCCATATTAAAGGTCACATTTTAAGTGGAGGAGAGGACATTAGCATGTTTCCAGCAGAAGAGGAAGGAGCAACAGCTAGAACTCTTGATGCCAGCAAGTTAAATATTTAGAGAAACAGCTATACAATGAGGTCCTCCCAAACCTTCTTCAAGCACAAAAAGACGTAAACCCAATACCTACATTTGCAGCTGCCTCTAAAAGTGCTTCCTAGCAAGTTAGCCTTCCCATGCACAAGAGAAAAAAGAAGGTCCCAGCATCAGCAACAATCACTGCAATGGCTCACATGACACTTGTTATCCTTGAGGGCAACAGCCAAAGGACTGCAGCGTTGTGATAAGGGGCAGGATAACAGTGGGGAAGAGTGATAGCAAAAGTAGTGACACCACCAACAGAAGCACTTCAGGCATGATCAGCAGAGGTCAGCTGTGTAAGCAGGCAACTAATCACTCTAACCTAGAGCCAAAGGCAATGTCCCCACAGGGTTTCTATGGAAAGCTCGACCAAAATGAGCCCCAGTACACATCTCATATTCACCTGTCAAGTCAGAATAAATACTGGATATCAGACTCTTATCTCTGGCACAAAACCAATACATGTCAGCTTCTACAAGGGCTCCCACAAGAAGCAGAATGATGTATTTTGCTTTAAAAGAGAAATGTAGGATAGCTGCTAAGGGAGTATCAGGGAACCCTCCCTGTTTTCTTTACTATCCTCCCAACTCTGCTTGTAACATGAGATGGCCTCAATGCAAACAGCAGTGCCTCAATGTATGTGGCCTTGTCACACTGACAGCAGCCCTGCTCTTGCTGCAGACATGGAAGTGAAAAAAGGCACAAGGAAAAATAAAAGAGGAAGAGCTATGGTCATTCACCTTCATCTCCAGGTTCCTTTGCTGTCCACAGAGGTTCCTGTCAATCCCTTCCAGCCAGCAGCAGATTGCCAGGTAAGAGCTGTAGGAGATGCCACCACAAGCAGCACATCTGTGGTCTCCATGCAATTCTTCATGCTCCCATGTCCCTTTTAACTGAGTGCTCTTGCCTAGGAAAGAAATTAGGGTGAAGATGTTAGACAGCCACATCAGACTGATCAGGAGACTACAACCACCAGCCAAGACCACACAGCAAATCAGCAGTGGCACAGAAACACCCAGAGCATGCAGACAGTGCTGTGTCCACACAATGTGTCCTGGCTAAGGCCAACAATCAAGCTACTGACACCTTCAAACATTACTTCAGTAAAACACCACACAGAGCCTTGTTTTGAAAGCAAAACCTGCTGGTGAACACCTGCTGGCTGCAGAACTCACAATAGTCTAATGCCAGGAGCCAGGGAAAGCTGGTAATGCTGACATCAGGGCAAGAAGAACTCGACCTTGAGTGCTGGAGCTATGGGTCCCTAAGGAGATTTTAAGAATGCAGCCTGTACAAAAGCGTGTGCAAAGCTCTTCAAGGATCCCTCTTCCACTGAGCCATCCACAGCAAAACCTACTGCCTACTGACAACAGAGGAGTGATGCAGTGCAATTACCTGGTGACCCTTGCTGGAAACACAAAAAAGCCTTTACAGAGTTTTTATTTCCAACCTCTTGCCTACTTCTAAAAGAAACTCGGTGTAACTGCAGCACACATCCTAAAATCCTCTTAAATAAGATATTAATCACAAGACTGTTTAGCAAGCAAGCGCACACAGTCCGCTTGAGGAAACACTACCTCCCATAATTATCCTGCCCTGGGCAAGTTTCCAGTGTATGTGCATGGCCTGGCATATGCTCCATCTCAAGTTCAGCAGCTCAGCTTTCTGCTCTCAGTAGGGAGCCCAAGCACTCACAGCTTAATAAGAGGTCCCAGTATGTCCATATCCCAAATTACTGCCAGCCTGAAGCATCCATGGGACCCTAAGCCACAGCAGCACACCACAGCAGGGGAGGCAAAGCAGGAAAAAGGCAAGCTTAGGCTTTATATATTTTGCATGACGAAGAAAAGGAGGAAGATGGGGAAGAAAAGAGAGGTAAAAAGCAAGAAAGGAGGAAGATATTAAAAAGACATGCAAAGACATGTTCAGCAGTGTAGGACAGCGTAGGCACACAATGCCCTACTTCAAGCACTGAGGTCCCACCAGCACAGGCTGGTGAAGTTTCCTGCCAGATAGAGAGTGAAACTAGAATGATACTTGAGGGTTAGGTGAGAAAGGAAAAACCAGCAACAGCTACCTGCTGGACTGAAAAATATCATTCTTGGTATCCACCAGCCAAGTGTCTTGGCATGGCTGCATCTTTGAGAAGCACCTCACAGAGCAAGGGGTCAGCCATCACAGCAAGTGAGGAAATTTGCACAGGCAGACCCCCAGGACAGCTGTAAGGCAGTCCAGGAAGGCTGGATGAGTAATAGTGAGCCAGAGCCCCAGCACTTTCACATGCCAGCCTAGGAAGTCCCCAGCCTGCAAGCTCAGCAGGATCCCCTCGCTGCAGGCTGTGCTCACACCAGCCTTTGTGGCCTGCAGAAAGGGTGCATTTAAGTGAGAAAAATGATGCAAACAGGAGGTAAAAGGTATGCAGAGAAGCACAGACAATTGAAAAAGGCCAGCACACTGGTTGTCCAGCCAGGCAACACTTCTTCAGGGTATATTTAAAAATATACAACAATCCACCCCTGGCTACCTGCTCCCTGCTGAAGTCTGCCTTTATACATGACCAGAAAGTGAGCCCAGAGATGCCACCTGAGGCAATGCAAGTTCTGCTGTGGCAGAGCCTGGGCAGCCACAGAGCTGTAAGAGGGAGAACATCAGCCAGGCTGGAGCCTTGGGAGCTTCCCAGTCATCTACCCATTCCTTCCTGCTAACAGGGCAAAATGCTCAAAAATATTCACCAGCATCTCTGGGAGGCAAAAGGATCAAGGGGACATGTGCCCCTCAGCAGAGCAGGACAGCAAGAGTGGCTGCTCAGGAGCACCTCTGACAGCCCAGCACCTCCCAGATGTGCACAGAGCTGATGCTGGGGGCTGCAAGCCACCAGCTGCAGGGTGGGCAGTGTCCCTTGGCAGAGCTTGAATCCTCAGCACTTGTTCTGAAAGCCGTGAGAACATGAGTGATCAGGCCTCCTTGCCTCCTGGTCAAATCAGAATATGAGGAACTCATCTACACAACATTTCCACATGGCAAGTTTCCCCATCACGAATACAAGCAGGTAATTAGTAAAAGAGACAATAGCTTGAAAGACGACAAGGTTATTTAGGGGCCAAAAATTACTCCCCCATTCAGAACAATGTAAAAGTTTTCATTAATTTATCATTAATTCTTCTTCCCACCTAAGAGGATCTGTATGGAAAGATCCTGGAGAGTGCTGTAAATGAAGTACCAGCCCAGGTGCCTGAAGAGATTTAATACACTCTAGTAACATCCAGACTCCAGTGTGACAGGTCTGTGCACTAACAGCCAGTAATCACCAGACTGTGGGACCAGGAGGAGGAGGCAACAGCCTCCTTTGTCATTCAGCATTCCTCCCACTGGCAGTCAATGCAGACTTGTGACTTCTTTTTTTTCTATGAGTGAGGAATTATTTCTCCTTCCTACCTTACCAGCTACAGCTTAACCAACAGCCTGATGGATGCTTTGGCAGAGGAAAACATCCTGCTGTCTGTCATCTTGTAGAAGAAATGGTATCTGTTTATTGCTTAGTTGTTAATGCTGATTCATCCCAAAGTTAGAAATCTTGCACCACAACTCTTCCAGAATGCAATAAGCAAAGCCCTGCCTGCCAGGTTATTCACAGTTAAATGGAAAATCATTAAAGCCTCTACAGAGCAGAGCACCAGCCAGGAATGCCCCCAAGCCCCATAGCAGAGGCTCAGACAGGGGCCAGCATGGCTGGGAGGGAGCAGGGACACGAACAATGCCACCACTGGCAGGGATAGCACTACCCTCTGGTCATACCAGTCAGATGAGAAGATATGAGGAATAAAGAAACCAGGATGGAGCAGGTCTACCAGACACAAGGAGCAGGATGTGAAACCCAGACATCACAGACAAGAAGGAAGTGGAATGAGACACTGAAGAGCTTCAGACCAGGACTGGTCCATGAAGACCACTAAGGCAAGGACTGGAAGGCAGGCTGGGAACAGGCCTGAAGAGAAGTAATGACTGGAGCAAATGCCTGCTCTCGGGCCACTGGTAGATCCCATGGCTCCCCTGGTGTCAACCAGCCAACAAATCCCCTCTGTGCAGCCCATCCTCCCCACTCAGGCTCCATAGGGAGGACAGTGTTTCATCAGCACTGCCTGGTGATGATTCAAGCAGGATGAGCCTGTGTGGTGGACAGCCCAACCCTCTCCTCTATCCATAGAACACACACAAAAAAGACCTAATCCTGCCCCTCATTTTGTCACAGCATACTCCTTTCACACAGCAGAAGCACTCACTGAATGACAGTGATGAAATAACTTTCTGCCTGGGTGGGTTTTTTTCCAGTAGATTTTTTTTTTCTTAGGGTGTAGTAAATAAGGCACAAAAGACAGATAAAGGCTCTGGAAAGGCAAGCCAAAGTTGACAAAAAAGTGATTTCTGCCTTGCTTCTTCTACAGCTGCTATGAAATCAAACAAACATTAGAATGAACTTCTCACATCCCTTGTTGCCAGACCCTTGCAGAAGGATAGACTCATGATCATGTCTGCACACAAGCTGACCTCTCAGCCACAGAACACCATTTCATGGACATCAGAAATTAGGAGGAGAGAATTCCTGGCAGCTTCCCAGAAGAGCACCCAGAATTGGCCGAGTACCCTGTGCATGCCTCAGCTCCCCACTTACAGAGCTGCCTTCCCACAAACACACCATGAACTGCAGCTGCTCACACATTTATGAGCAGCACTGCAGAGGGGCCTATTGGACAACTTGTCCTTGGGCTAAGGTTTAAGTACACAAGTAAAGCACAACCTTAGAGCTGTAAAAAGGAAAATGAAAACCCCACCAAAGAACCACAAATATAGATCAATTATGCACAAAGAGCAAGGCAGCATCAAGCCAAGCAGCAGCTATGGAACCACGCAATCAGAACCTGCAGCACACACAGAGGCCAAATTTGGTCTGTATAAATTAAAAGCTGCCCTGCCTTCTGAGAACCTGGCTTTGCAACCCCTTCTGTATTTCCAGAGAAAATACAGAAGTCCTTCCACTTTCATTGAAGATCTATTTCCTTTTATTAAAGCAAACTCTAGGACAAGTCCAGGGCTACTGCAGACCACTGGCAATTAATTCTGTAAGTTGGCAGCTTGTGCTTGAACAGAAGAATGATCATCATCTCAGAGGAACTGGCTCTGTGCAAATACCGTAACTTCAGCAGCACAACAGAAGAGCAAGAAACCCCAAACCATCCCTTCTGCAGAAGAGAGGCTCAGGAATCAAGAACACAGAGAGCAGCAAAAGCACTCAGGAAGTGCCTTGGTCAGGGATCTGAGACTGATGTGATCACTGCTGCCAGACCTCAACCTCTGCTACCCAGAACAGGGGTAGGAATTGAAAATCCAGTACTGATTGCTAGGCTGGCTCAATTATTGGGATAGCCTAGAGAGGAAATCCCCTGCTATTGGACTTTTTTCCCAGGAACAGAGAAACTCACTTGTTGCAAGGCAAGCTGAAGCAGGACTGTATCTCCCACGGTCCCCAGGATACAATGCAGCAACAGGGACAAAGCCAACCCCAGAGCCACAGCTCAAGCAGGACCTACAGGTGGCCATGGAAAAGGATGACCTGTGCAAGTTATGGCTGATCCAACCTCTCACCCAGTCACAGCCTCATCCAAGCAGTGCCCCAGCACGAGCCTTTTCCCACACCTCCCAACTTTCACACTGCCTTTCCTAGCTACTGCAAAGACCAATATTTCCATTTCAAACCCATCTTGCTCAGGATGAATTGAACTTCCTTGATCCTCCTCCCCAAACCAGAGATAAAGAATCTCTTTCTCCAGTGAGCAACAACAAATTAGCTTCTCCACAGGCCTTTTTTAAGGGGGTAGTTTTTGCAGCTCATCTGTTCTAAACCATTACACC